AGAGGAGGGAAAAGTTGAGAATAAGAGCAAGAGAGGAGTGGGAGGTGAGGATGAAATGATGGGTAAATGAGATCGCTATTTACACACCAAGTTAGAATGGCTCATTAAATGGAAAAACAAAACAAAACAAGTAATCATTAACATTAAAAATTTCTGACTTACATGCATTTTTTGTATACGTTTTATTTATTTTTTTTATTTGGTTATTATCTCGACTTTGTATCACTTTAATTTCTGTAATTTGACATTTAACATCACTAATATTTATTTTAAGTATTAGTAAAGTTGATATATCATATTATTTTATTATATTTTTTTTAATATTAAATATCGCGTGTCATATGAGATAATAATTATTTTATTTTAAATCATTTGAGATAATTCAAAATATATATAAAAAAGTCTCCTCAAATCTCTAAATTCTTAAATTATGTCGTGCACTTTATTTTTCGAAAATAGATACACTCTCTTCCAATAAATAGTGGTCGGCTTACAAGTCATCCTATTCCTCCTACTCTCCTTTCCTCTATTTATGTAAGAATGATATTTGTCTTTTTATCATATTGAGAAATACATAAATCAAAATTTTGATCGATTCAATTCTCAAATTTAGATACCAAAATTAATCTGATTTATGACTAACTTATTAAACTACCAACTTAATAAATAGAAATAATTAGAAAACCTATATTAGGTTCATTAATCTTTGGTACTTATCTCATGAAAAAAAAAAAGTTTTATGTAAAGGATTTATGTAATAAACAAGCACACATATGATTGCAGAATGCATAAAAGATGAAACCTTGACATAAACCATATATAAAAAAATGAAATGAAATGAAATGAAATAAAATCATATCCAATGTTTGGATAGTGGCGTATGCATGCTTCGGTTATCAGGATTTAATATCTAATTTACAGAGTAAATACTCTGTGTCTGTATGTATGTATATGTATGTATATGTATGTGTGTATATATATATTGGTAAATATAATGAGGAGAAATAATTTAAAGGGGTTTCATGAAAAGGAAGTATAAATTTGCATTTGGGTCAAGATATGTTCAAAGTTGTCGGTGGAGTTCTGGATTTGATGTGAATGAATGCCTTCATAAGTTGTCACCACAATTCCTTCATCTTTAGTCAGCCGCTGAATTTGCTTTTTCACATTGCAACCTTTATGAGTACACCGGTAGTAGCTTCTACAAATTAACCAGTGAAAATTCAATCAACTTTATTATAGTTAACTCTTTATTATTTCTTCAAATAATAATAATAATAATA